GAACTGGAGAATCACAGAATTGTCAAGCCATAAGGGACATCCCAAACTATGCAACTAAATGCACCCAACATTGGGGAGGCTCAGTCTAACTCAAAATCATCTCAGACATGAACTTGTCTAACTTCATCTAAGGGGCCAGGCGCAGTGGCTCATGCCTGTAACCCCAGCACTTTGCGAGGCTGAGGCGGGTAGATGACCTGAGGTCAGGAGTTCAAGACCAGCCTGGGCAACATGGCGAAACCTCATCTCTACTAAAAATACAAAAATTAGCCGGGCATGGTAGCACGTGCCTGTAGTTGCAGGTACTCAGGAAGTTGAGGCAAGAGAATCACTTGGACCTGGGAGGCAGAGGTTTCAGTAAGCCAAGATCGTGCCACTGCACTCTAGCCTGGACAACAAAGAGAGACTCTGTCTCAAAAAATAAAAGCAAAAAAACCTAACTTTGTCTGAGAAATGTGAACATTTCACAACCAGTCCCAAAGTTTGATGACCACCATTCATGACGCACGTTTCTCCTTAGTCTCACACTGATCATTGGGGCTCACACTTAACTTAATTTCCTTGACCCACTCGCTAAACTTGCAGATGCAACCGGAACCAGCCTCCTCCCCACGAGAACCCTTTATGTGCCTGCAAGCAGCAGTCGCACCAACCTCTGCCTTCCAGGATGCTTCCTGCTCCCAAACCTGCACTTTGTAGGGGCCCCACAGAGCTCATGACATGCTCTGGTGGGAAGAGCTGCTCAAGAGGCAAGTGGGTCTTGGCCATAAAAAAATGAATCATGAGCACAAGTTGACACAGGAATCCTGCCGTTCAGACAATTACCCAAAGAACACATTTTCTGATAATTACAGAGCTAAACTTGGATCCACTTTGAAAATCCCTTGCTTTCTCCCAAGAAAGCTGAGGAGGTGGTTTAACAACAATCAGCTGCTGAGATGCATCACATTCTAGGGTGCTTAGGAGGCTAGTTCCAAGAAATTCTTGGAAGGTGCAGTTCCCAGAAGGTGGTGCTGCTAACTAGACCCATTAACCCGCCCCACCATCCCCAACATGTGCTCACAGCTTGGGAATCTGAACTCAGAAGCCCATGCAAAATGAGAGAGACAGGAGGGAGGAGGCCCAGGCTGGCCCACCTTGTGATGCTGCTCAAACATTAAATGGCATTTACCTAAGAAAATGAGAGGGGATGTTAAGAGGGGGTGCAGCCAGCCAACGATTATCTTGACCAGCCTCAGTACCAAGGGTGTGCATAGGGATGTTATAAAGGGTTTTAGGTAGGAGTTAAGGGTTAGGATGATAATAATAATATTTAATATGCATTGCACACTTATGAGCCAGATATATTATCTCACTTAATTCTGACACACCTCTATGAGCATGGTACTGTTAATTTTACCCCAGTTTAGTCACACTGAGGCACACACTGTGGGTTACATAAATAATAAGGGCAGAGGCAGGATTTGGAAGTAGTAGAAGTTTGCATACTCACTTTTATATTTGGAAGGTTACAAATATAAAGATCCCAGGATTGGCTGAGAGCAGATATTAGGACCATTGAAGTACAGACTACAAGGGGGCAGAAGGTATACGTATTACAGAAGAAAATCGGACAGAAGAAACTGTAGGTTAGAGATCTTCTGTGTCAATCATGAATCCAAATATTAAGTTAAACTCAATTTTTAAATACAAATCTTATATAAGGAGTAAACGTAATAAAATGTGTAAATTTTGTACTATGTCATGGACACTACTGAAATGAAGAAATAGAAAGATTATTGACTAAGCCAGTGTCCCCAAGAAGAAGGATTTAGATGACAGAAGTGCCAGAAAGTTGGTACTCATTCACTTAGTAAATACTCAGCACCTTCAACGGGCTACACATTGCTCTACATTCTCTGCCATATGCCATGATGGTGCATGAAACACAGCTGCTGACCTTCCAGAACTGGCATTCTAGTGAGAGGAGACAGACCTGCATGCCCAGGACCTAAATGCCTTTGCGAGAATAGTGTTACCAACTTAAGCTACATAACACGTGAGCTACAAGACCTCACAGACTAGACAAAAGTACCTATAATTTGAAATTACATTCAGAAATAAATGATGTTGAAATCATCCATAAAATTGGATCCTCATAAAAAAAAATAAAACAAAATTGCTGTTTTTAATAAAAGCATAAGCTTTAAACAGAAGTATAACTAAGCATTAACCAGCTTCCCCTACAGCCCATCTCTTTATAGCCGCTTACTGCTTAAAAGTCCCATCGCCTCTGTCACAAGGTCCTAACTTCTATAGATAACATCTGTAACATTAAAAAAAAAAAACTCAAGTTTCCCATTTGAGATATTTTCTAGATCCTGATTCTACCAGGCCCACTGACACCAGCCAGTCTGTGAACTCCCTCCAAGGAACTGACTCAGTACAAGAACAAAGTTTCTACATCCTTATGATTTTCTCTCCCATGCCCTAACCAATCAGCAACCCCCAGTTCTTCAGCCCACCACCAACCAAAATCCCAGCCCAAAACTTCTTAAGGAGGCAGATTTGAGATTCCCTGGTGCCTCCTTGTTTGGCTGCCATATAATTATTAAGCTCTTTCTCTGCTATAACTCCTGCTGTCTCAGTGTATTGGTCTGTTATCATGCAAGGGTACAAAACTGGTGGTCCTGGTACGAAGCTGATGGTCCTGTAACAATCATGACATCACTGAAAACAATCTCAGGTATCCAGGGCACACAGAAGAACTAACAACCAATTGTTAACAGTAGATGTGCTTAGAGCAAGAGAACTGGAGAAGGAAAAAGAGTCCACAAATAAAGAAAGAAGGCTGGGCTAGGCATAGTAGCTCGTGCATGTAATTCCAGCATTTTGAGAGGCCAAGGTGGGGGGATCACTTGAAGCTGGGAGTTTGGGACCAGCCTGGACAACAAAGCAAGAACCCATCTCTACAAAAAATAAAAAAGTCCGCCAGGCATGGTGGTGCATGCCTGTAGTTCCAGCTACTCAGGAGGCTGAGGCAGGAAAATTGCTTGAGCCCAGGAACTCAAGGCTGCAGTGAGTTATGATTGCACCCTTGCACTCCAGCCTAGGTGGCAGAGCAAGACCCTGTCTCAAATAAATAAAGTTGTAGGTACATGGCTCATTTCTGCCTTGAATTAGTGAAGAGGTGCTGGCTACTCCAGTGCCACTCCCCATGGGAGCCAGAAAACTGTCAGCTGCAGAAGGTGTGATCGCGCAATCACAACACCATCTTGAAGTCACTATTTCATGTCCTCTGATGTCCATCTTTTCTCCCTGGCATTTTCCATAACCAAGAGCAGCAACTACATTTGACTTCCCAGAAGCTGCAGTAGAGGCAGTGGCATGGGAGAAAGGAGCATGTGCAAATGAAAGGGTCAAAAGGCAGGAAAAGGTACTTAGAGTACAACGTTTCTTGGAGCAAAATGTCTCAGTTTATTGTTTAAAGAAACTTATGCAAATGATATGCAAATTTGCAAAAAGTAACGCTAATCCTTGCATAGTGTGCTTACTTTCATACCCTTGACTCTGACCTTTAAAAGGTCCAGGGCTGCAAGGCTGTGGACCACAGGACCTTGGCCATTGCCTGCTATCTGACCAGAGTCAGTTGTCAAGAAGTATAAAAGGATCAGCAGGGCTAAAAGGTGATGGATATGGAACATTGTTCTGCCTAAGAACACAGGATGGTATATTCAGGATGGGAGAAAAAGTGGCAATTTAGAGTCTGAAAGGCAAAACTTTGATTTTGTTTTGATCTATTCTATGCCACTTAGGTGTCAAGTTTTAAAGAACAAACCAGAGATTATAAAAGCACGGGCTGGAGCAGGTTATGAGTATCTAAGATATTATCTGGAAAAATAATGTATAAATTTATGAATTCATATTATGTTATTTTCCTAATAAGTCTTTATTCCTTGGATTATAAATATTTTCATATATAGGTTTTATCGGAGCATATTTCCCTGCTGTATCATACAAGATATGGGATTTTAACACACTGACTTTCTGAGAAGATATTAAAGGACAAGTAATTAGCCAGAAAAATAACTGGCTTCTTGATTAAGCTCTCTCTCAATGAAAGGTATCATTACTGAAATACCAGAAAAAACTTTAAAAGCTTACAAAATAGTTTCCGCTCCACCAGTGTTGGCATGACATTTTATTTCTGTCCTATTCATATAAGGCTCAAAAACTCCTTTTGGGCTGACAGGTGGCTTTCTTATAGACTGTGTTCATCCAATCTGTACAGAGGTTAGGGATGTCCTTTGGTTATTTACCAGCAAGTTGCATTCTCCACATTTTGCTGCAAAAAGCACACACTTTCTTGACTGGAAGGAGACACAGGGGCCCCCAGCTAAATACTAAATACTGTGCTAAATACTAAGCTGGAACTGTGTGTGCCTACATGTGCTTCCTGAATGAGTCTAGGGAAGCTGTAACATACTACCCACCCATTCAGAGCAACTCTCTGAATGACATGACTCTGCCTTTAATAATACCTCCTTATCCCACCCATTCAGCACTCCCAATGATGCTGACAATCAAATTGCAAAGCTAAGTGACAGGCTGAAACCTCAAACGGAACCCAGCATCTACTTAAAAACTTCCCAAGGTCAGCAGGGAGTGTTCCTGAGCCCAGCACCAGACAGGAACAAAGGCCCATGGCAGCAGCAGCTGGAAATGCCATCCGTTATCATGCAACGATAAAGAGTGTCTAACTCCAACCAGAGGGCACTTGCAAATATCCAGGGCTGTCCTGACACTTTGATAGATGGCCACCTCCTTTAATTAGCTCCTCCTGTCTCTGAAGGTTTCCAAAGAACTGATCACTTGCTCCCACCTCCCCTTTCCCTGCCACCGTTTGCCTTCCTGGGTGGACAGGACTGGAGCAGGCACTGAGCCTCACCAGCCTCTTTCACTGTGTGCCCACCCACCACCACGTGACTCTCCATCCTTCGGCATGAAGCTACCACACTGACCTTTCGCAGAAGGAAGCAGATGCGCTCGATGTTCCTCAGCCGCTCCCTCTATCAGGACGCACAAGAAAGAAACGAGAGGGCAGGTTAGGGGTTCTGCTAAAACAGCATGAGAAGGCCCCGCAATCAGCCCCAATAGTGGACAGAATCTACCAGAGACCCCTGCTATGCACATGGCCAGCATGCTCCCACCCAATGACTTTTTCTAATAGAGTTTCTGACTTTCTTCCCTCTACCCTGTCATAGTCATTTGCTCTTAACAGAACTCTCCCAGCAAACAGTATGGCCCCATCTTCCCTCTCAATCCTGCATAGATTTCTTTTATCTACAGTCAAGTCTCTCTCAGCTTCCATGTACACATAAGGTGGTCCAGCTGCAGAATGGTACCTCATGTTCATGGAATATCCTAAAGCCTGCAGCCGGCCCTCCCAGGAGGACTTCCCACTTGGGTCTCAAAGAGCGTATGTGCCCTCATTAGTAACTTAACGTAGACAAGTTCTCTGCCTGCTGGTTTTGTTTTTCTAAAGTGAGTCTATTTGGAGGAAGCAATCTCCCACTAAATTAGACACCAGTGATGCCCCCAGGCTAAGGCTTTTTAAGAAGTTCAAGTCCATCAAGGCCTGGCTCACTGCCAAGGGAAGGTAAGATGATGGCCCGTGGCTGGGCAGGTGATGACGCCCACAACATGCACTAAATGCCGTTGCTTCCCTTTTCCTTCAGTGACTTTAACGATTTGCAAAGCCACGCTGAACACAGCTGTGGCATCACCCGGTGCTTCATTACTGAGGCAATTTGGTTGCTGTAGATGGAATGGTAATGAGATTCCCTGTGAATCCAGAAAGGACAGGTGGCTTGGACACTTCATTTCCCTAATTAAATCATAAATATAGTGATTCCTGTGCCTCCTGTAACCCCAGAGGAAGGAGCCTCCATCAGGACATATTAGTGTCCACATGGCTAGCAAGACACATTGCATACTCCTCACACATGTGTGCACACACAAGCACACACACTTATGTGCACACACGCATGAAAGGAGATGCTGCAAGACACACACTAGCTCCTTCTCCAGGAGGCCGGAGCCCCTGAAGGACAACATCTACCATTAATTTAAAGTAATACTGAATGTCCAGCTGGTAAAAGGAGGGGAAAACATGAGAAATGAGGAGAAAAACAGAGCATTCCTCCTCCTCTCCATCCCAGAGGGTCCAACAATATTAGGAGCTTCAGGGCATCTTAAATGCAAATGGGCCTCATGCCCTCATTGAGAGACACATCATACGGATCAGCAATTATTTGTGACACACAAGTCCTTCCAGGGCTGGAGTCACCAATCAGTGAAGTAGCTTTCTTAAGCCACCTGAGTCTGAAATGCTGCTCTGGGGGCTCTACAGAGGTCTAAGAGCTTGCAGAAGAGTTAAATGAGGCATCCGAAGCATTTAACTTCCTGCCAGGGAGTAGCATCATAAAAACTGGGAAAACATGTCTAGCATTTTTCCATTTAGGGTTCTTACTTTTGTTTTTGTTTTAAATACGAGACAAGAGTCTTTTCCCCAGGGGCACCTAGAGTCTTTACTGTGTCCATGAGCTTCATAGGGCCCAGGCTCCTTAATTAATCGTTAACTAATTAGAACTATGCCTTTAACAATAGGAGTAAAAAAAGAGAATTGAGATTTAATTTCTACGCCACCATTTCAATATTCATCCAATGTTTAATCGACAAATATCTATGGGGCACCTACTATGTGCAAACGCTATTCCTGCATTGGCCTTTCACAGAAACTCCCTAGAGAGCATATACTAGTCCTGATTTTCTTTATTCGGTCTAATTTTCCTTATTCTTCACCAAGGTGAGCTGAAAAAGGTTCCACAAAAAAAATTTCATGGTTTCACCAATCACGTGCAACCCAGCATGGAATCTGCATGATACAATTTAGCGGCAGGACAAATTCCTTCCCTTGCATTTGCCCTGGAATCATACAAGAAAGTTTTGGGTGTCTAAGTGAGCTGCCTATTAATTTGAGCCCAAACAATTAGAAGGAAGGAAAGTAAGCTCTTGTCTTCCCTGGCATTTCTACATGAAAGTATCTCTCTCTCAGACCAGAGCCGCTCACTGCATCTGGTAGATATTGACAGGCCAGTTGTGTACTGTTGGTGCCAAACACAAAAACATCCAGAAAGACATGAGACCCAGAGTGAAACCTTCCAGGCCCGACAGATCCAGATTATCCCAGGTGCAGGTGAGGCTGGTAGGTGGAGGCAAAATAGATTTTAATATTTATAAGTTCATGAAATACAGAAAGTTTTCAAGTAGATCTTGCAGGTTCTTTAAACTTGCATCAAAACTTGCTTTGAAAGAGTCTGGATCTATTTCACGGAATCAAAGAATACACCAAAGCTTACCTCAGATATTATAAAATCAGGTCTCTTAAAGAGACAACATAGGGGAGGGGGTAGGATGGCAGGCTTTGGAGATTGGCAAACCTGGGTTCAAGTCCTGGCTTCACCACTCATGAGCTCTGAATCCCTGCACAAAAGAGTTCATTTTGTGGCTTATAAATTGGGTTAATGATGCCTGTCTCACAGCATTATTGTGAGGATTACAGATTATGTATATGAAGTTCCTAGCACGTAGTAAAAACTCAAAAAAATTACAACTCCAGTAACAGCCCTCGACTTTCTAGAAGGGGATCCTGAAGTCTGGTTCTTCCATATGGCCTTTTGGTACCTCCCCAAAAGCATATCCTTCTTCATGGGGCCTGCAGCGAAGGAGAAGAGGCCTCTTTGTCCCTGCTAATCAACAACCGCGCCATAAACATTCCAGGCTAAGATGGCACCATGATAGCAGAGCCTGTTGTTCTCTCTACAACTTCTGGCTGAAAAGGTCAACAAAGCTACTCAAAGAGGCAAAAAATTGCCTTCGCGCTGGAAACCATGGCCTGGAAGGAACTTCAGCTACACACAGAACCAGTGGATTTAGATTCAGAAACACACTTGAATGAACCGCGTGTGCACCACCCTTTGAACTCAGAAGTGCTGGTCTGGAGTAAGTTTGGAAAAGGCTCTGTCCACATACAGGGTTGGTCCCTGGCTCTGGGACATGGACTGCACTGACCAGAGAAACAAATACCCAAAACGCCCACCCTCACCCAGCATCCATTCAGAAGCTCCCAGTCAGAGGCACAGCCAGGGCACAGGGGAAGGGTGGCATATAGGGCCTGCCAAGCCAGACAAGCAGGAAGACGCCAGGAGCCACGCATGCTGGGGCAGGTGGCCTTTCACATCCCGAACCCAGACCAGAGCAATCAGACTGCACCAAATTCTCCAGGCAGAGGTGAGCTGACCTCAGGCCCACAGAACCACCTGAGATGAATGCTTGTGGGTGATAGATATGGAGCCAGGGGCTTTGTGCATCAACCCACCCTCCATATCTCCATCTGAGAAACCTGGTGCCCAAGTGGAGAGTGCAGCACGGGACATCCATTCATGGTGCGCATGTGCCTGCAAGCACGCTGGCCAACGTGAAGCCACTTTCCTTGTTTAAGGATGATTAATCAAAACACATGAGCACCAGGCTTTTGAGGACTCAAGAGCCACAGCACAGTAGACAATTTCCCTAGGTTACTGGGACAGTCACGCCTGATTTGCAAGAGACCTCAGCACACTTCAGGTGTGAGAAGGCTTCTTCACAACCTTGAGCCAGTTAGGGAGGCACAGTGGAGCAAGAATGTTCTTTATGCACTCAAATCATTTACATTCTCACCCTCTTTCCCAGGCCCTGGGTAGCTTGGGGTGACAGCACCTTCCCGTCACCAGTATCCACTACTTACCGCATGAACAGGGTTGCATTGGTCTATGGGGCTCTTAAAATCCGTCCTTAACTCATCAAAGGCAATTATCTGAAACAGAATACAGAGATTTGAGGTGTTAGTGCACATATGAGTCAATACACCATGTCCATAGCCTCTGGATTTGCTTTCAAATAATACAAGAAAAAGGAAGAGGCTGTAGACGGCACGAGAGTGGCCAGCAGCTGGTGACTGCTGACGCTGCAATAAGCACACGGGGTTGATTCTATCCTTCTGTCTACTGTGTATGCTTAAAATTGTCCTCAGTAAGGTTTTTTAAGTATTCTGTGCTTTACAAAGATGTAGAGAAAGTCTACTGTGCTGAGGGCATGTTGGGATTTAGATGAAGGCGCAAAAAATTTAAAACTTCAAACCACTACTTTTAGCTCCTTTCCTTCCAGGAAGGGCTATTTCTTTTTTATTTGTGTATATGTGGGCAGAAAGGGTGATTGGAAGTAAAACAGACAGAAGTCAGGTAAGAGGGAAGAGAAAAACAGAGCAGTAGAGTTGACAGTTACAGAAACCACCAATCTCCAGATGTCCACAAGCCGGGACAGGCGGCTCTGGGCAGTCAGCGCTTCACAGCACAGTCCTTTGAACTTCAGCCCTAAGTTCATTTTGGACGAAGACTCAGAACTCCCCAGAGAGCAAGTTTCCCCATAAGCCTGGAGGAAAGCGTGTTGGAGAGGACTGCTCCAGTCACACGGCCCATCCACAGAAAGGCCTAACTGACAGTGAAGGTTCACAAGCCCACATTCTAACCACAGCTACCTGGTCTACTGCAGGAAGAATAAATAATAGAACGAGGTGGGATTTGGCCAGAGGAGTGTCCTTTCTTAGGGTGTGGAAGCCTTGGGTGCTTGCAGTGAAGTCTCTCCTATTGAAAATAAACAGACATAGCCAGGCGCGGTGGCTCATGCCTGTAATCCCAGCATTTCAGAGGCCGAGGCGAGTGGATCACCTGAAGTCAGGAATTTGAAATGAGCCTGGCCAATATGGTGAAACCTCATCTCCACTAAAAACACAAAAATTAGCTAGGTTTAGTGGCATATACCTGTAATCCCTGCTACGCAAGAAGCCGAGGCAGGAGAATCACCTGAACCCAGGAGGTGGAGGTTGCAGTGAACTGAGATAGAGCCACTGCACTCCAGCCTGGGTGGCAGAGTGAGACTCCGAGAAGACAGACAGACAGAGGAAAGAGAGAAGAGAGAGAAAGATGAAAGAGAAAGAAAGGGAGGGGAGGGGAGGGGAGGGACGGAGGGAGGGAAGGAAGGAAGGGGAAGGAGAAGAGAAAGGGGAAGGGAAGGGAAGGAAAAAGAAAGAAAGAAAAGAGAGAGAGAGAGAAAGAAAAAAACAGAAAGAAAGAAAATAAACAGACATAACCAACTCCCCAGGGAGGCACATCCCAAGGGTCCTTGAACACTTGGCAGAATTGCTGAAGCAAGGAAGCAAGCTTCCCACCCCCGAATGTCCCCAATCCGGCAACATGGGGCTGAGAGTAAGCACCAAGTGAGAGAAAACGACTTCCCTCTACAAAGCAAGTAGAATTTTAGAGCAGTCATATGTCATCCTGATTTCAATCCTCCTACAGAATTTGAAGAAAATTTCAGTATAACTTGTATTAAACCAACATATTTTTATATCGTCCCTTGCCAGATAGTTAATTACCCAGCCTGTACTTAAACCCTTTAGTAACAAGAAACTCACTGCTTACTGAGGATGCTCCTTCCATTTCTGGCTACCTCTAATTAATCATTGCTTTCCTTATTAAACTAATATATGACTCCCTGAAGCTTCCACCCACAGCCTAAGCCAGGGTCAGCAAACTACAGCTTGAAGGCCAAATCCAGCCTGCTACCCATTTTTGTTCAACCTGTGAGCTAAGAATATTTTGTTCGTGGTGTTTTGGAGACAGAGTCTCACTGTCGGCCAGGCTAGAATGCAGTGGCACGATATTGGCTCACTGCAACCTCTGTCTCCTGGGCTCAAACAGTTCTCCTGCCTCAGCCCCCCAAGTAGCTGGGATTACAGGTGTGTGTCACCACGCCTGCCTAATTTTTGTATTTTTAGTAGAGATGGGGTTTCATGTTTTTAACATTTTAAAAAAATAATTGAAATAAACCAAAAGGAGCATATTTTGTGGCATGTGAAAATTATATTAAAATTCCAGTTTCAGTATCCATAGATAAAGGTTTATTGGAATATAGTAGCATTCATTCTTTTATCTATACTGCTGTGGCACAATGGCAGGGTTGAGTAGTAGTTACAGGCTGTAAGGCTCACAAAACCCAAAATATTTACTATTTTGCCTTTTGTAGAAAAAATCTGCTGACCCCAGCCTATTTTTCATTTGCCCTCTAGAGCTATCCCCTCCAATATGATACCACTAGCCACATGTAGCTATTAAAGCTTAAACTTTTAATTGATTAAATTAAAAATTCAGTTCATAGACACATTTTAGTTGTTCAACAACCCTACCTATCTAGTGGCTACTACACAGCACAGGCATAAAACATCCCCATCACCACAGAAAGTTGTACCAGACAGCACTGCTTTAGAATCACACAGGATGGGTCAAATCACTCTTCCACAAAGAATCCCTTTAAGTACTGTCAGCTACAGTGACCTCAGCAAATCTTTCTTCTTCAAGTTAAATCTCTCCAACCATTGTTCACACAAACTGACACTAAGCTGCCTCCTCATCCTGATTGTCACCACTGATGTTTCAGTTGTAAATGTCCATTCTCAAATGTGACTGTCAGTATTAAACACTAGCTTCAAGGTGAGGGTGGCTGGCACAGAGCGTAAGAATGTCATTCACCACCTCTGTTCTATAGTCTATGCTTCTTTTAATCCAGCCTGACTGCATTAGCTTTTTTGTGGCCATATCACATTCCTGGCTTTACACTGAATTTGCATTCCCTAAAAACCCTAGGTCTTTTTCATGTGGTTCAGTTAAACTCAGACCACCTCATTCTGCACAAGGATTGTTGGGTTTGGAGGCCTAAGAGCAGGAACTAATCTTTATCCTGATTAATTCCTCCCTATTCAGTCTGGTCTATTGGTCCCATCTTTTGAGACATTGACCTATCTCCCAACTATTATGCAAAAAACACAATATCCTCAATACCCACATCCACATTCACTCTGATATAAAGGTAAACCAAGCAGGACCAAGGGCAGACCTCTGAGCTCACCATTCCTAGCTCTTGTGAGGCTGACATTGGTTTTCCTGGCACCTGTTATCTATCCAGTTATAAAGACAGTTCACCACGTTTTGATCCAGTCACTGATAGCAACTATCTGGACAGCTGCAGAACTCCACAGTTGTTAGTGCACCCATACAGGACCCTGGCAAAGAGGCTGGGTGCCCATAAAGGAAAGGGAGCCAAGTCCCCCCACGGTGGACAACCCCCATCCCCAGTCCTGCCCCAGGGCCTGTGTCCCCATCTGAGTGCAGGGAGGTGCGTCTGGACTGAATAGAACAAAGGTTGCTGGAGCTTAAAGTAGGGGAGAGGGGCCAATGGGGAGCTGGAGCTGTTCAGCCAGGCTGAGAGCCAGTAACCCTGCCTCCGCCCACCTCAGCGCCTCACCTGGCACAGATGAAGGAGGCCTGAAGAGTGGCTTATGCCTTTGAGCGCCATGAGATACGAGGCCTTTCATGAGTGTTTTCTGATGAGGCGATGGCAGTGCATCCATGAGGACAGAGGCTTTCAGCCTCCCTGTCCCCCGTATATACTCACCAATGTATCTATCCATTCACCCAACATTCAGCCAGCATCCTTTATATACAGGCACTGGGCTAACCACTGCAGACACAAAAATCAACAAGACTGGTGCCTATGCTCACCAAGTTCCTAGTCTAGAGGGGGAGACTGCCATGTAGACAGGCCACTGTGCTACAGTGTGATGAGAGCTACCAAAACGACTGTAATAACAGCTATCAGGTATTGCCTGCTCACCTTGACAGGTGCTGGGCTACATGCTGCACGTGCTTTTTATCATTTAATCCTTTGACCACCCAAAGGATTAAATGGGACCAATAATAGTACCTACTTCACTATTATTGGTCCCATTTCAAAGATGAAGAAACTGAGGCCCAAAGTAGTTAAGTTACTTGCCCAAGATCACTCTTTGGTGCCAAGATCTAAACCAAGGCCTGCCTAACACTAAAACCTGAGCAATACCATTACATTCTTCTGCCTCCAAGTACATACAGAGAAAAGTAAATAAGGAGTCAGAAGACGTATAGAAGAATGAACAGCTGTCCCCATGGAACCAAAGCAAAGCTTCCCTGAGGAGGCAGGGTTTCAGCTCCCTGCCACCTAGCGTTAATTCATAAATAGATTCCCAGTCCCAGCCTCCTGACCTATCTGAGGATACAAGCCATGGGCCCTACAGTGTAGTCTCATCTTTTGAGTGTAGCAGACTTCTACCTAGTGCCAAGCCTTAGCATCAGCAATGGACTGAGTGTGATAAGCACAATGATGTAAGGATGGGCAGATGAACAGCCCGCACAGTTTAATTCAGCTGAATGCACAGACCGGCCTGTGTGTGTGTCCTACAAGGCTCCATTGCACCCTGAGGCCCAGCCACTGACAATACAGGTTTAACTGCTGAACTTTACCTGAACTTTAACTGCTAAACCAACAATAAGATCACTTCATTTCTCACTCCTGTCTTTAAAGCATTTTTACATTTAATGCAGTAAAATTCACTCTTTTTGGTGAAAAGTTATGTGAATTTTGACAAATGCAGTCATGTGATCACTTCCACAATCAACACACACAACAGTTCTATCACCCCCAAAATCCCCTTCTGCAATGCCCCCCCACCATGTCTCACCCCTGCCCCTGCCCAGCAACCACTAATCTGTTCTCCATCCCTCTAATTTTGCCTTCTCCAGAAAGTCCCACAAATGGAATCATGGAATATGTGGGCTTCTGAGCCTGCTTTCTTTTGTAAGCATAAGCAAATACACTATGTGTTTAAGTTTAACCCACACTGTTGCCTGTATCAACGGTTTGTTCCTTTTTATTGCTGAGTAGTAC